GGCGGGAGGGGCTTGAGGTCAGGAGGTGGCTTATGACCAAGGACACCTGGATTTCAGCAGGGGCCCAGGGTGGTGGCGAGACTTCTTTGCTTTTGGTCAACAAACTCTGTAAGTCTTTTTGATGAACAGTCATCATTTTGCACATACCTTCCTTATCTCCCGGGGGAGGCAGTTTCAGTCATTCCTAGGCTACCGATTGGATTCCTTTAGTGATTAGCATCGCTGTGTGCAGGTCTAAGCAAAAGTCGCTAACTGACCTGTGATGGGAACTGGGCAGGCTCCAGCAAGGTGCGGTCAGGCAGACCGATTATTTTATTCCCTCACTGCCCAGCACCATGGCCTCTACTTATTGGGAGCCCTCCAGAGGTGTCCCAGAGGCATCCCTGAAGGAGCTCTCACCCCGCCCCAAGCACGTGTTGAACAGAGCAAGCTGGAGACCTCTGGAGGGCTGGGCCTGAGTTAGCTGTGCCTCCTCCATCACAGGCTGGTGTGCCTGCCGTCTCCAACACAGTCAGTGTCTGCCGTCTAAGCCCCTATCTCACCGGGTCCCTGTGGAAGCCTCCTATTAATATCTAGCCTCCCCACCTGTGTCTCACCCCCACCCATCCATTCTCCACACAGAAGCCAGAATTTTTGTTAAAAAAAACAACAACAAAAACCAACTCTTGGTCTCCCACCCCCTTCCTCACCTATAATCCTCCAGGGTTCAGGTTCAGGTCATTTATTCTGAGCCGTCATCTCTGACCACCCTCCTCCCACTGCGCACACATATAAGTTTAGGGCCCACGTATTCACTTCCTCAGAACCCTGTGGTTTACCGTAAAACTTGTTTATGTTTCAACTGGCCTGTGGCCAGAGAATAGGTGGGCCAGGGACTGGCCACCTTGTCGGGTGCCTGACTCTGTGCTCCCGTGTGGAGGACGGGAGTGAGATCCACATGAGTGGCTCTCAGATGTGGGTGTGGAGGGCTTGTTAAAACACAGATTGCTGGGTCCCCCTTTCTGATTTGGGAGGCCTCGGGTGGGGCTGGAAATAATGTGTCTCCCCACGCTCTCAGGTGCAGCTCCTGGTGACCATATTTGGAGTTCACACAGCTCTGTATCCAGTCAGAGGAGCAGACTGGAGGGCTGAATTGCAGTGACCATTCCGATAAAAGGAAAGGTCGAGTGAGAAGCCTAAGCTTTGGAAGAAGTCTCAAAGAGAGTAAAATGAGAGACTTCAATCTGATGTTAAAGATGGCGGCACTTTCCAATGGTTGACAAGGCCCAGCGAGTAAGTATGAGAGCGTGGGGCTGACATGGCCAGTGGAGGAAGGTGTGTTATGCAGGCAAAGACCTGAAAGTTAAAAAAATAAATAAATAATGTTTACTTAATGAAGTACAGGCCTGAGATGAAAATAATGAAAGAGGTAAGTGAAAAGGAAGATTGTAAAGTGGAATGTGTGAAATTATTGCGATTTTATTAAAAATGCCTAGAAAAAGACTGAACATATTATATGTGGCAATATTTATAATAGATGAGTTTTATTTCCTTCCTTCGCCTTTCTAAATTTTCAAAATTCTCTCCATTATCATCTTTTATTTTCAATATTAGGGAAAATCTTTTCCTGATTAAAACCTCCTCAAATGTCCAATGTCTTGGACACTTCATCTAGTTGAACTAATTTATCTTCTCTCCTGTCCACTTGTGAGACTTGTCTTTGATATCTTAACTTGTGCTAAAAGTATGGAAACCAACAAAATGTAAACAATCCAAAGCAGACAAAAGAAGAAAAAGAAGAAGAAAGAACCTCAAGAAAAAAAAAAAATTTAGTTGGTACTGACATCAACAAAAAGGTATCTTGGTTATTGGCCTTCCAATCATTCTTACAACTGAATGTTGTAACCACCTACCTGGCTATTTGGGATCGGTGACCTCACGGACTGGTCTGACAGGGAGCTCTGGTCCTGATCGCCTACCTGTGACCTCCTGTTTCTTCTCATGTGGTTCAGGCATAGGCTGAACATTGTTCCCAACTTCACTCTTCTTGTTCAGAGTACCCATGTATTCTTCCTTGAATTAGATCCCCTCCCAACCGAATAACATCATCTAAAAAAGGTAATAAAGTTATTCTTTTCTGTCATTCAGTTATAAAAATTACTGTTTTTTTAAAATTACTTAACAAACTAAGCTCTCTTCATAACAGGGTTTATTTGGGGCATAAATTCAAAGTTACAATCAAAGTACAAATAAACTCTTAGAACACAACCCATTTTATCCAGGAGAGTACTTGTGCAATAGAAAATTCTCTCTATGTAATGTAATGTATACCAATTGGCAATGGTATTTGTCAGTAAGAATTTCTTGCTCATTTCTCTAAAAGGAATGAGATAGTACTTTAGCATGTGAATCTACTTCATTTCAAGTGTAAGTAATTCTGAATTTCTTGTCAAGACCTTATAATTCTTTACCTATAGAGTAGACACAAAGGATATTAGTAAGTAAACATTTATAAGTGTAATTACGAATGGTTTCACAGTCAGAAATATTGATATGAATATCCAAATTTATATTCCATAAAAATCCATTATATGGAAGAAAATAATTAAACTGTGTATGTCTGCAGCAAAATGCATGGAACATATAGGATTGTAATTATCACCAAGAATACTGATCAGATCAGAAAAGACTAGAATCTTAATATTTCAACTAAACTGACTACCTAGTAGCTATTTCCTTAACTATCTTTTCATCTCTGAAAATAAAATATGAATTAACAAAACCATTTGAGAGATCAGGAAATGGCAATCCTCAGCGATTTGGTAAGGTAAGACACTAAGTGACAGAGTGGAACCAGCAGCTCGTTTGCCTAACTGTCAGCTTAGTACCTCTTATTCTAGCATGTATTGTCTGTGCTGCCAGAAGGCAAACCATGTCACCACCTTTCCTATTTTAGAAATAAGATTCTTTGGAGGTCTGAGGGCAAAAGACACCTATTATTTTAAAAATGTCAGCAGCTAGTGATTTAATGAGTTTTTTTTTGTTTTTTTTTTAACATATTTTTTCTCCATTCAAGTTGTTTTCTACTCATTAAATAATCACTTTTTAAGCTAGGTAAGAGCAATCAGAAATTAGGAGTTAAATTTGATCTTGTCTATCATCTCAATGGAAAAACTAAGACGCAAAGAGATTTGTCCAGGGTCTTCTGGTCCAGCGTTATTTATAGCGCATGACACTGCCTCAGCCATAACCATTCGGAAGAATTGGCATAATTGAAAGGATGTTCTGGAACCATCCGTCCTGATCAGTGTATCTGTCTGCATGGGGTGTTTGGGTGCCGTTTTACTTCTTTAATTTTCTTGTCCATTTTATTCACTTCTTTGATTTTGTTGCCTGATGTTTTGGGATTGGAGACAGTCAGTAAAAGACATGTAAAATACCAGTGGCGAGTGCAACTTAGATATTTTAGGGGGGATGAGTGAAGTAAGTCTAATTGGAATTTAGAAGTTGCAATTTTCCATGGAGAGAAGACCAAGAAAGGGATATTGGAGAGATGGCTGAGGGAATCGATAACCTCCTACTGCCAGGGCTTCTGCTGGGCACTTTTATGGGTTTATCTCATTCCTCTTAACAACCCTTTAGGTAGGGGTTGTGACCCTCATTTTATTACTCTTGAGGCTCAGAGTACTGTTATTTACCCAACAGATACACACTGGTAACAGGTAGAGGCAGGCCAATGCAGAGTTTGTCTGACTCTGAACCTGTGTACTTCACTTCTGCAGTAGAGTTTGTGTGAGGTGAGCCAGTGAAAATAATAACTGCAATGCAGTACTTACAATAGTAAGAATGGTAGCCTAGTCCTTCACATCCGAGACCACTTTGAACAGGATTAAGTGAGCACATGAATTGGGCCGATGTGGTGTCTTTTACTCTTGCCAGTGAAACGGCTATGTCTATATTTACGATTTCCTTTGGCTTACTTTGTTTTCTGAAAAATAATGGAAAGGCTCAATTAGTTTTGCCTCGTTCATCAGTTCTTAGGTTCCTCATGTGGGCGGATGGGTTGGTGTGTGACTGTGTGAGGTCAAACCCGATATATTCAGAAGTATGCATCCAATGCCCTTTGGGTTAGATACTAAATTTTGTAATTAGTGATCAGTGTTCCTATTTACTGAATGGGAATTTTAATCCCCACGGAGGTCTTTTTCCTTTTGAGGCTGAATATAATATGCAGCCTCATATGTCTTTAGGGCGGGGGTCCATGAAACAAATATGTCAACCTTCCCATGGAAAAGCAAGTCTGTATTCGGTGGAAAATTGATAACCACTCATTTTTACCCCCAAAATGAATCTCTGATGACTAATTTTGTATCTGTCCGCAACTCCAGTTTTAGCTTTGGGCTCAATTCTCACATTTGGAAGGCGATGCCCAGGGATGTGGTGCTGTGTAACAGAAAGGCGGTGTCGGTTTATAACATTCTTCTAATGAATGAATGCTCATCTGCAATGATCAGTTTGATACTAACTTAGGGAAAGACGTGTTCCGGCTCCAACATGGGATCCTCTGTATTTAAACATGTCATTCTAATGTGAAACTGTTACTACAAAAGAGTTATTTATTTTACCATTGAGTCTAAAAATAGAACCTTTCACCCAAATTTTGTGCCTTCAGGGCCACTTTTAAACTAATGTGAAAGAATCCGTGTCCAGATTCTGTGATGTCGGACAAGAGTCGGGACTGGGGCAGTTAGAAGGGGACAAAGTCAACACCCACTTCCTTTGCTGGGAGACACCTCCAGAACTCCTGGGCTCGCAGGCGGGGTGACGGAGGAGGCTCTCCCGGCCGCGCAGGGCCCGCCCCGCGGACGCAGGTCTGCAGGCCCGCAAAGAGTTAACCGGGGACGCGGAGCCCCCCGCGCCGCCGCGGGCTCCCCGCGCTCCCTCCCCCCCCCCCCCCCCCCGCCCGGCCCCCTGTCCCCACCCTCTCGTTTTGGCAAGGGATTAGAGTGCTCCCCCCTGTGGCAGCAGTGACCCAGAAATGAGTTCGATTCACACAGTCCTTCCTCCTCCATAACCAGCCCAACGCCCGTCCGAGAGTGCCTCCCCGCGCGAGCGCCGGGTGTGTGCGCGCCGGCGAACGCAGGGGCCCGCCCGGCTCCCTCCCCTCCCGCCGCGGCCCCAACTCGTGCGGCGGAGCCGGCGCCGGCGGAGCCTCCGCAGCAGGTACGCGCGGCCGGGGGGCGAGGGGCGCGTGGCCGCGGGGCCGCGTGGGGACGTGTGCGCGTCCCGGGCCCGCGGCGGCGGCGGCGGCGGCGGCGGCGGCGGCTGCAGGACGAGCCGGGAGGCTCAGCCATATTTGATGGTTTTGTTGCTTCGCTCGGGAGTTCTCGGGAGTAATTGAATGCCGAAGGTCGCTGCCTAGTGGAAATAATATAGTACGTCATTAATATGGCGCCAAAAGATTGGGTTCTCGATACGTAGCGAGGAGGGAGGGAGGGCGGGCAGGCAGCCGGCGAGCGCAGCCTTACTATCCCACCAGCAACTTGGGCATTGCCGGGGCGGGGGCCGGGGCAGGAGCAGGAGGAGGAGGAGGAGGAGGAGAGGAGGAGATGGTTTTTGGAGCCTGAGGATTGATTTATGTTGGATCAGTAAGTTTGACTATGATTATTATTATTTTTTTTCAATTTTTGGGGGGGCGAACACTTAGAGCTCCCCCCCCCCTCCCCTTTTGGGATGTGTGAAGAACATGCGGTTTTTCAGGTGAAGCATCAATGAAACGCGTTTCAGGAGCAAGAAGCCGAGTATAGTTGGCCCCAAAGTGCATTAGGGCTGCATGAAAGTGGAAAGCATAGTAGCAACTTGGTAGACAGATGGCAATGGCAGAACGCAGGTTCGCATACATACATGAATCCAGGGTGTGTGTGACCGGGGAGGGAGGGGGACGACTATGTTTGTCTAAATATAGGTGTGTGTGTGTGTGTGTGTGTGTGTGTGTGTGTGTAGAGGTACATTGTGTAGGGTGGCCACAGCCCCGGCTCTTGTCACCGCGTCACCACATGTCCAAAATATTCATTGCATCAATTCAAGGGCAGTGAGCAGGGGGGTGGAGGGACAGCTTGGCAATTAGATCCTTCCAAATTGGGTTTCCAGCGATCAGACCTTTTACTTTACAGCGAGACTGCCTGTTAAAGTGTAAAAACCCCTTCCTCGGTGAAATTAGGAAGGAGTTGCATTGGCGGAGAGCAAAGTGCCGATTAACCGTGAACTTACAGCGGGATTGCAAATTGCAACCTTTGGCACCATCTGCAAATTGTGGGGGTGGGGTCGCTGAGTACTCGCTGCCTTAAATGAACGTGCAGTGTGTGTACCCTGGGACTGCAAGTTGCAAAGCCCTTCGGTGCACGTGTCCTGTGCTTGTGTGTGTGTGTGTGTGTGTGTGTGTGTGTGTGTGTGAGTTGGGGGGCTGATGTTTGGCAGCCAGCAGGCAGGCTTTCCGGGTTGTTGGCGCTGGCTTGCAAAATTCGGGAGAGGGATGGAATGTGGAATGTTGACCTGGGAACCGAATCCTGTCGGAACGGTCCCATTTGCTGGAGAAATTCGATCCCTTCCACCTCCTTCCCGCTCCCCGCCCCCCCCCCACCTCACCCTCCCCCTGCGGGCAGGAGGCGGGGCCGGGGACCGGGCTGCTGCTGCTCAAAGTGGCGGAGCGCGGCGGCGGCGGGAGGCAGGTGCACCGCACCCGCCGGTGGGGGTGCCTCAACTTCCGCGGGCGTTTAAATAGCAGCCTCGCTCCCCTCCCTCCGGTAATAGGTGACCTGGCGGCCGGGAGCGGGTGGGGGGGGGGGAAAGAGGGCCGGGGGAACCGCGAGCGAGCCTCCGCGGCGGCACGTGGGCAGGTGCTGGGCGGCCCGGGGGCCAACTTTTGGAGCCCGCCTCCGGCGGCGGCTCGGGGTGGACATGGGGGCGGCGGGCGGCCGGGGTGCTGCTTCCTCGGCCGCGGCGGCCGGAACGTCACCTAACGGTCCCAGCAGCGGCGTCGCGGTGGTCGGGGTCGGGGGTGGAGGTGGGGGCTTCGGGGACGGGGATGCCCGGCCCGCCGCGCCCGCGCCGCGGGAGCCCCGCACAAAGCCCGCGCCGTGGGGGCCGCCGCCGCGCCGCCGCCCCGGGACCGGCCCGCAGCCCGCGACGCTGTCCCCGCGCCGGTTCCGGCGGCTGCCGCGGGCGTGTGTTTGTTGGTTCCGCGCCGCCCTCGCCGCCGGATGGCTTCCAGTGACAGAGGTGATCACAGTTTCCAGAACTGCCTGGGGGCGGGAGCGGAGCGGGAGCGGGAGCGGGAGCCGAGCGCGCTCGGGGCCGCCCGCCGCCGCCGCGCTCGCCGAGCGCCCGCCCCGGCCCGGAGGTGCCGCCCGGGAGGGCCGCGCGCGGGGCGGGGGCCGCGCGGCCGTTTGCGGCGGCGCTAGTGGCTCCCGGACGCGGGGGCCGGTGTGATTGGCCGCCGGGGCCGCGCCGATTGGTGGGGCGGCGGCGGGGGGCGGGCGCAGGCGGCGGCGGGGGCGGCCGCTTTCGAACGGCGAGGGCGGCGGCGGGCGCGGCGCTGCGGGGAGAGGGAGCGGCGCCCGGTCGCGCCGGGAGGAGGTGTCATCCCCGCACCCGGAGGGGCCGGGAGTGACTTTCCCCGCCTCCCCCGCTGTGGTTCCTGTCGCCTCGGGAGGAGGACGGCGGGGGAGGGCGGGAGGAGGCGGTGCGCGGGCCTGCGCGCATCCCGGCGGGCGGGCGCTGCGCGGTGAGCACTCCGTGCAGGGCGGCGGCCGCACCCCGACCCCGGGTCGCCCCCAGCCCACCCCGCCATCGCCCCGTCCCCCAGTGTCCCCATCCCCACCCCGGGACCTCCGCCCGGCTCTCCCCGCGGCCGCCCCTCCCAGGCGCACGGCGGTGGCCGTGGCCCCGGGGCCGGTGAATGCAGCGAGCAGACAAAAAAGCGGGCGATTTGAACCTGCCTCCAGACCCGTTAGGAAGGCGTCCTCCCTCGGAGATGGTTCAGAAGCAGCCGGGGCTTTCTAGTAACCGAGAGGCGGGCGCTGCACCGCGGCTCCGCGGGGACCCGGGTCTGTGGTCTTCCGCTTACCCCAGTCAAGAGGGAATTCAACATTTCTTTTTGTAAAGTGATAAACTGCAGTTGAAGGACTTAAGACAGCTACGTTTTCAGGAAAGTGGCAGATAGTCTGAGGTTTCCATTCATGGGGATGCTTGGGGCTTTCTTACCCCAAGGTTTTTATGATGTGATCTAATTATATATATATTTTAGAAAGCCCTCTGTGAAAGGCTAGCTCTCTAGTTACTTGTAGCTCAAGGCTAATAAATGAACTAGTTTTAAGATTCAGAGAAAATTATTTCCCTGAAAGCTGATGTAGGTAGTGATCACCAGTGGTTAGAGGTTACCATAGTAAAGTTGCATTTTCATCAAATTACCCCTGATCGATATTTAAATCGCATCCAAGTGGAGAAAGGAAGCCTTCAAATGTAACCATAGTTAACACTTTTGGTGGGATAACTTGTTGCAAAGGGCAGCAGCACGGATTGGAGAGAAGCTTGGGATATTCTGGTAGGCGACACTTTCTAGCAAATAACTGCAACCCAGAATTGTTTTGTCCCAAGTATTTCAGACTCATGTAATGCCACTTAAATAAGATGACTTTCTGGTTGTTTGGCCTTGTGCTTTCTTCCTTAAACCTGTGTATTTTTTTATACACAAATATATTTTGTGTGTGATTCCAGCACTTCCATTTCCACATCTAGAACAATTACAGTTTTCAGGTTATTTGCTAGGTTTTCCCATATCTATCTTCATCTTTCACTAGTCAGACATAAAGGGTGTTGCCTGACATGCAGTAGAACTTGATCTTGATGCCATCTTAAGATCATAGATCATACACTGCTTTCTAGTAAGTAAAGTTGCCACAGACATGTTTAACTTTGAATAAGCTGGAGAGAAAGATCCTCCCCCCACCCCCCCACTGTATCAGTTCCTCCTCTGTCACAGGCGTTCAGCCTACAGAAGAGTGTTTTAGCTTTTATGTCTGTTGCCAGGGTTGAAAGAGTAGCTATAAAGGGAAAACGGTGAAAAATTATTAGTGTGCCTGAGAGAGAACAGAGAGGAAAAAAACACCTCTTTGGAGTTTAAGGAAATGTTACATTTTAAAAACGACTGTTGCTTAGCCCAGAGGCTTGGGGAGAAGGATTAACTGAAAAAACTTGGAGGCCTTGGTGAGAATAAAAGCAGATCTCTGTGTGTCTCACCTATAGTAGGCACATCATAAATACTGATTTTTGACTTGAATGAGCCCTTGGTGGCTTGAAGTATTATTACAGAAGCGGTGTTACACATACATTGTTGAAACTTAGAAAACACAGAGAAGCAAATATAATCACCTATTTCTACCACCCAGAGCTTCATTGTATTGCTTTCCAGATAATTGTCTATGCATATGTGTGCATGTTTTAATCGAAATGAAATCATACTGTATATACAGTTATGTAAGGAGTTTTGTTTTTTTCCTGTCAGCTTGGTAAGTTTTCATCTCATCACTGGGACCTAGATTTCCTCAGTTGGCCCCCAAATACGACAGCAGCTTTGTCTATCACACGTCTGGTCGAGGCTCATTTATTGGGCCTGGTTATTCTCCATACATAGACTTTCACCCACAGAAAGACTTTGCTAGAACCTCTGACATGGAGGAGGCAAGCCTTTGAAATTGATCGTGATGGGATTTTTTAAAAAGTTGGAAATCAAAGTATCATTTTATTGTAATTTATTGGAAGTCTTAGATTTGGAGATTTTGTTAGAAAAACACTGCTCTAAAGAAACGTGCCTGATGAATTTGCCCACAGACTTGTGGGAAAAAGGATTGGTTTCAGTACTGAGCTGGCTGGAACAGCAAACATCCTCATCAAACACCGATGACATCCTCTGTCTGGAGGGTTTGCATGCCTGAGGAGGAAGCAAGCATATGAGTCTGACAGTTCTGCTCCTTCCTTCCTGTTGGTGAAGCTCTTCCCTCCTTAGTATTAAGGGCACCTGTTACGCCATCCCAGTTAATAGTTCGTCAGAATTGGAATTTACAGGCTCAGTTTTCCCACGAGATTAATAAAATAGACATGTTCCGGAGGAAGACATGTCATCTTAGCCAATACACCTTGCTTCTTTATTTGGGTTGGCATTCAAA